TAAACATTATATTGGCTACGATCTGTGATAAAATGTCATTTATTGTTGTTGTATATGTATGCAGTTGCCCACAGCAGCATAATATTATTAAACTTCTTTCACATCAATTAATAATATTGAAATTTCTCTAATTGCTGTGATCTTTTTGAAAGTTAGGAGAAATTATATTCGGAGTAAAAGTATATAATTCTGAAATAGGCTTGCATAATATGTGCTCAACATGTTGTCTCACGTTGGCCTTTTTAATCCATGCAATTTGAAACATTCAGGAGATAATATTTGTACATGACTGACATCGGTCCATGTACAAATACTTTGCTCAAGAGCTTCAGTTATACAATCTCTAGCAATAGTAGTCCCATTGTGTAATGAAAGGCATCTTGAGTTAAGCCCAATGAATGCACCAACAAGATGAACAGTCAATTAAGTCAATAGAAGGGACCTCAAACCTGAATACTTGGTGGTACAACTCTGTATCTGCATAACCTCAGATCAACGTTGACCACCAAGATCAACGTTGTTGTGATCAATGCCGAAGCTACCTCAACTCCATAGACTCGTCTAAGTCTATTATTTAAAATTATAATGTTCGCGCAACCATACTACTGATTTTTGCACGGGCAACATTTCAATTCATACGAACAATTTGAGCGACAATGACTGGACTAGAAAAAAGGGGGCGTGGCACTTCCTATATGAATGTAAGACAAAAATTCGTATAACTGGGAAACTAATGGAGCTAGAATCCTCAAATCTTGCACGAACAACTCTGATATCTATGTAAACAATTGGGCAATAAATTGACAGTTTACCAATAGGGGGCGTGGCATCTCTCATATGGATTAAAGACATAAATTCGTATATCTGGGAAACTATTGGAGCTAGAATAATTAAATTTTGCACGAACAAGTTTGATAGCAGTTTAGCTAGGGCGTGGAAACAGCGGTGCGGATACATTGTCCGGATATAGTATCTGTTGAACCAGAAAAATCAAAGAAAGTCTATCCGAAAGTAAATAGCACTTTTGTATATGTATATATCAATATTTTACTAACATTCTCTTCCCGCGAGTTTGGGTTCAAATCACAGCCACTAAGATTACTCCGAAAGGACCTCCGCCAACAGTCGGTACAAGAGGAGTCCTGCAGGCCACAGACTCCCTTAGTACCATTAGTATGTGGTTCTCTGGCAGGGTTGGGGTGTAATGACTACATTTTCAATTACAATTACATTTGAAGTAGTTGTAATTGAAGCTTTACCAATTAGAATTATTTGTAATTGTAATTGAAGTTTCTCCAATTACAATTATTTATAATTGTAATTGAAGTTTTGACAATTACAATCATTTGTAATGGTTTTTGAAGTTTTGCAATTACAATTACTTATAATTGTAATTGAAGAATTTCCAATTACAATTACTTGTAATTGTAAATTTTGTTCCTTATAATTACATGTAATTTGTAATAGGTAATACCTTAATGACAATTACAAGTAATTTTAATTGGAAACTTCAATTACAATTACAAGTAACTGTAATTGGCAAAACTTCAATTACCATTACAAATAATTGTAATTGGAAAAACATCAATTACAATTACAAGTATTTGTAATAGGTTATTGCTCAATTACACATTACAATTAATTGTAATTGACCATATAATGAATTACTTTGTGTAATCATTACCCCCCATGCCTGTTCTCTGGTCAGACCTCAAAGGAATGACAGTTTTTTTTTGTCAAAACTAGAGGTAGTAATAACACCTCTATACCCCAAGATTTCTATTACACGGAGGTAAAGAAGATTCACCTCATATCAATTACTGATCTTGGTGAAAGCTTTCACATAACCGGTTAGTGCCGCTTAATTCGCTCAAAATCTGCTCTTAATAGTATTCAGAGCGATGCTTAAATATATCTCAATCGAATAAATATTTTATAAAAACAATCATCCATATTATCATTATAATTATTTCACAAATATCCTCATTAAAGTTGTATACAGGAAATCACCCGATGAAAAACCAAACACAATCACATTCTTGTTAAGGCAATAAAATTATTGTTTATTTTCACAACTGTTGAAAACCTCTTTCTTTTGTTTTCTTCATTAATTCCAATGGGCCCATGTGGATTCTATAGTTCAAATATATTTTGCTTTCTTTAAAAATGTATAATTTCATTCTATTGTTTCTATTGATTGTTTAGTGCAACAAAAAACAAACATTTATAAACAACAACATTTGTAAATGAGTATCACTGGGAGTAATGTGTGTAATAATCTTCTGAAGAAGTGCAGTACACAAAATTAATTAAGAAACCACCCAAATACAATACGTTAAACGAAAAGAAACAAATTGCGTACTTTGAAGTCTGCACAGCAGGAAGACATTTATTTGAGTATTTTTTTTCATTTTTGAAAATATTCAAATTGTTACGGTTTTCGTCAAAAAACAATAAGCAACTGATGTTCGAGCGATCGTTTCATTTGTAACAACATTTTAAACATTTCTCTTTCTTTGCTGTTGTTTAATAATGTGGCGGCCACAAATGATTTGCTTTAGTATTTTTTATTTGTTGCTCGATCTGTTTATTATTTTTTTTAAAAATATCACTTTGCATCCAGATTGTACAGGTTGCTGCAAATGTAAGCGAATGTTTTTTGTGTCTAAAAAAACTTGTTTATAAAGATGAAATAATTTTATATTCTTAAATATTGAAATTAAGTGTTTCGAAAATGTTTATCGACTGCTGGAAGCAATCTGCTATAAGATTTGTAGGTTGCAGCATTAATTGCACGAATATCTGCATGTTTTTATCTGAGACTTAAAACTGATCGTACGAAAATAAATCACGAAAAGTTCTTGTATATTTAACGTATTATCTCTCTAATTGTTATATATCAAAATATTGTTCATGGACCCATAAAGGTAATCTTTCTATGTTCTCCTGCCAGTTTGCTTATCGGTTAAAACACAATCATAAGGCCCAGCTCCGTTATAAAGCAACATCAAGAAGCTGAAAATAATGTACAAACTACTTACATAAAAATCACTCTCAAATGCTTTAAAGTTTGATCCATTTTTTGATCCATTCGTCTATAAATGATTTCTTCCTCCTACTTAGGTTATATTGATAGGAGCATGAATACTACATCAATCCTAATAAATACACCTAGCCCACTATCACGTCCATTGTGTTCTTTTTTACATAAAAGATATTGGTGTATAAAGATCACTATATATGTATATTGAAGTTATTATAGTTCGATATTTAGAAACTCAGGTTATTGGACATTTAATTCCTAAGTTATTTGCCTGAGCGATGTTATATCCGAAATACTAGTACTCCCAAGATATTAGATCATCCAGAGTTGCATTGTCCTCTCCAAATGATATACATTTTTCTTAATCCGATAATCCAATTTTTACAGTTGTGTCCCAAATCCTATATATCCATTTTAAATTCATTCTGACGAGGCTTCTCGTTCTCTTCTCTTAAGATTACCTCATATCATACTTATGCTTCTACCCACCATTTCATTATTCCAAGTGGCCTTATAGGATTCCCTAGCGAATATTTTTAATTCAGCTCACTTGATTAACTTCTTGAGATCCCTTTCGTTGCCGACTTCTCCCGTGTGGTCTGGTACCCATATGTCGTAAACCTTACCTCTAGAAGAGCATTTTGGTAGAGCTTTCTTACAATCCAAAACGGTCTTCAATTTAACCTTATTACCTGATATCGCTCTAAATGTATTTTGCCTATATAATAACCTCTTTTGTTACCTCGCCTTTAAATCTGGTACATTCACTTTTTTGTTGGAGATAATTCTCCAGCGATATATTACCCATATGATGCATTACCCATATGATGCATTGCCTCAATTAATGCTCTTTCAAATTCCCTAATTGCCCTATATCCCTTCCCTTTTAAAGGAAGTAGATTCGCTCTTTCGTTGGCGATTATTATTCCAGAGCGGTCTTGAATCTTTAGATCATATGGATTATCTCTAGAACAGTATATATTTAATGAAAATTAGGTCTTATATTTAACTTTATCACCTTATAACACCCTTATTGTCTTCTGGCTGCATACCGTTATTACTGTGACTTCTGCCTGGAAGCTAGTATTGTGATAGAACCCAAGGCCCTCTTTGTTTCTAAATTTAAAGCTATCCGTTTAGCAAGGGATTCCTATGAGTATTGGCTATAATGATATTCTAACTGTTTCAAAGTTCCCGACTGACTCTCAGCGCTCAGCACCGATGGGCTTCGTTGCGCCTATCCTTTATGTGGTCAAAAGACAAAATTTCATCTTCGCCGGGTTAACATTGAGACCTTTCGGTTGAGCCCAATTCAAGGTCGTATTCATAGCCTCTTCAGCACTTCTACATAAGTAGTTTGGACCCTTTTCCCTAAGAAGTATTACGACATCTTATGCATAGCAGACGTGCATACGCCCTAAGTCCCCATTTCATGCCTATGGTTCTTCTACATAGCGCCCAGTACCGATGGGCTTCGTTGTGCTTATCCTTTATGTGGTCAAAAGACAAAATTTAATCTTTGCCGGGTTAACATTGAGACCTCTCGGTTGAGCCCAGTTCAAGGTCGTCTTCAGAGCCTCTTTAGCACTTCTACTCGAGTAATTTGAACCCTCTTCCCTAAGAAGTTTTACGACATCATCTATAGGCTATAAATCGTGGTTAGGCAGTGGTGTACTGCCTGACAGTTATTTATTTTATAAGTTTTTGTTCAAAAAGTTTTTAACTCCGACTTTTTAAAATAAAATATGACGCAATTATGCGATTGTAAATACTTCCTCTTTAAACGCTTAACAAAGGTATACCACAGTGATTTATTTAAAAATACAGTTAAATTTAACTATTAATTGTTACTTAGAATTAAATAGACAAAACTGATTTATTAAATATTCAAAAAAAAAATGATTAAAAGTTTTATCAATGAGTTATTAGTTTATAAGCATTTTCCCATTTAAATTACCTGTTTCTGAACTATTGCTCATCGGGCGCATGGGTGTCGGTCTAACCACTGATTTATAATCCATAAAATTAGCATTAGATCCTGTTGTCAACTCCTCATCAATAGGTGGATATGAATTCCCTTGAAACGATAAACTTGTTGAAACTGTCGTTGTGGAATTTACCAGACAATTGGGCAGAGAACAGCAAGCGTAAGATGAATTTAATTCATCACAACATTTATCGCTGCGCGGATCATGGGAATGAGTATCGGTTTGAGAAGAGGGAGGGGGTGGAGGAGATTTTTTAATTTGTTGCAATTTATTGCTTAGCAAACGATCAACACTAAAACTTAATTGTATTCTAGTTTCACTTTGGAATTCATTCGTTTTGATTTCATTATTATCACTATTATTTTTACTATTTTCACTTAAATCATTTAGAAGATTTTCCGCTTTGGGAGTTATAGAACTGGGCTTATCACAGTTGATTTTATCTAAACTTAAATTTTTTGGCATTTCATTCATGGCTTGTGAGAATTTTATTTCTTCATCTAGTATGGCCATATTTTGTTGAGATTTTGAAATCATTTCATTTAAATCTTTCTTATAAATTAAACATTGATTTAATCCTTTTTATCACTTTTATTCACTGTTTTAGTTTGCCGACGGTATATGTTAATCTATTAAATATGGAGACGCGTATCAATACAGAATATATATTTTTTCCGCTTCGTTAAAAACGAATCAATTCGATCGCAACGATTTGTAAGACATCCCACATCGAACTGAAAATGCCTCTAGCGATCGATTTGTGTTTAAACAAATTAATACATGCACTGCGACTGCTATCTCAGTCGTATCACCAAAAAAAATTTGTTTAGTGTGTGCACTGTGGGGTTAAACACACAAAACTAATAAAATTTTTATAACTTAAATTTTATAAAACAGTCTTTTGATTGCATTAGTTTCAATATCTATTGATTGCATTAGTTTCAATATCTAATATGTAGGATTAATTTTTAAAATATGAATTATTAATAAAATATTCCTTATATTATGCGGAATATTGATCAAACCCTTATTTGCAGCTAATAAATTTTAATATTCCGAAAAAATTACATTCTGTTAGTCTCACGTTTGGTGGTAATAAAAAACTCTAGAACTACCACGATCTTTTAAAAACTAATCAATTTGGATTTTGTTTCTTTTAAACCACTGTTTATTTAAAAGATATTCAAATTTTTATTTATTCGAAAATCTGTGCTGGTGTGTTTTATACACACTTTTCAGCGCCTGTCATTCGCAGCCAAACAAGCAGAGGTACATGGTTTTTCTTATTATTTATTTATTTAATTTCTAGTTTTGTAGCCTAGTAAACATTTTTGTTACGCTTATTGATTGAAATCTTATGATTTTGATATTTACCATCAAAAATATTGATTTGTAAATTCGCATTTATAACATCAAATATTGATCGTAGACTTTTGTAGTCTATAGTCTAGTCTATAGTCTAGTCTATAGTCTAGTCTATAGTCTAGTCTATAGTCTAGTCTAAAGTCTAGTCTATAGTCTAGTCTATAGTCTAGTCTATAGTCTAGTCTATAGTCTAGTTTATAGTCTAGTCTATAGTCTAGTCTATAGTCTAGTCTATAGTCTAGTCTATAGTCTAGTCTATAGTCTAGTCTATAGTCTAGTCTATAGTCTAGTCTATAGTCTAGTCTATAGTCTAGTCTATAGTCTAGTCTATAGTCTAGTCTATAGTCTAGTCTATAGTCTAGTCTAAGTCTAGTATAGTCTAGTCTATAGTCTAGTTCTATAGTCTAGTCTATAGTCTAGTCTATAGTCTAGTCTATAGTCTAGTCTATAGTCTAGTCTATAGTCTAGTCTAGTCTATAGTCTAGTCTATAGTCTAGTCTATAGTCTAGTCCATAGTCTAGTCTATAGTCTAGTCTATAGTCTAGTCTATAGTCTAGTCTATAGTATAGTCTATAGTCTAGTCTATAGTCTAGTCTATAGTCTAGTCCATAGTCTAGTCTATAGTCTAGTCTATAGTCTAGTCTATAGTCTAGTCTATAGTCTAGTCTATAGTCTAGTCTATAGTCTAGTCTATATTCTAGTCTATAGTCTAGTCTATAGTCTAGTCTATAGTCTAGTCTATAGTCTAGTCTATAGTCTAGTCTATAGTCTAGTCTATAGTCTAGTCTATAGTCTAGTCTATAGTCTAGTCTATAGTCTAGTCTATAGTCTAGTCTATAGTCTAGTCTAGTCTAGTCTATAGTCTAGTCTAGTCTATAGTCTAGTCTAGTCTATAGTCTAGTCTATAGTCTAGTCTATAGTCTAGTCTATAGTCTAGTCTATAGTCTAGTCTATAGTCTAGTCTATAGTCTAGTCTATAGTCTAGTCTATAGTCTAGTCTATAGTCTAGTCTATAGTCTAGTCTATAGTCTAGTCTATAGTCTAGTCTATAGTCTAGTCTATAGTCTAGTCTATAGTCTAGTCTATAGTCTGGTCTAGTCTATAGTCTAGTCTAGTCTATAGTCTAGTCTATAGTCTAGTCTAGTCTATAGTCTAGTCTATAGTCTAGTCTATAGTCTAGTCTAGTCTATAGTCTAGTCTATAGTCTAGTCTATAGTCTAGTCTATAGTCTAGTCTATAGTCTAGTCTATAGTCTAGTCTATAGTCTAGTCTATAGTCTAGTCTATAGTCTAGTCTATAGTCTAGTCTATAGTCATAGTCTAGTCTATAGTCTAGTCTATAGTCTAGTCTATAGTCTAGTCTATAGTCTAGTCTATAGTCTAGTCTATAGTCTAGTCTATAGTCTAGTCTATAGTCTAGTCTATAGTCTAGTCTATAGTCTAGTCTATAGTCTAGTCTATAGTCTAGTCTATAGTCTAGTCTATAGTCTAGTCTATAGTCTAGTCTATAGTCTAGTCTATAGTCTAGTCTATAGTCTAGTCTATAGTCTAGTCTATAGTCTAGTCTATAGTCTAGTCTATAGTCTAGTCTATAGTCTAGTCTATAGTCTAGTCTATAGTCTAGTCTATAGTCTAGTCTATAGTCTAGTCTATAGTCTAGTCTATAGTCTAGTCTATAGTCTAGTCTATAGTCTAGTCTATAGTCTAGTCTAGTCTAGTCTATAGTCTAGTCTATAGTCTAGTCTATAGTCTAGTCTATAGTCTAGTCTATAGTCTAGTCTATACTCTAGTCTATAGTCTAGTCTATAGTCTAGTCTATAGTCTAGTCTATAGTCTAGTGAAGAGTCTAGTCTATAGTCTAGTCTATAGTCCAGTCTATAGTCTAGTCTATAGTCTAGTCTATAGTCTAGTCTATAGTCTAGTCTATAGTCTAGTCTATAGTCTAGTCTATAGTCTAGTCTATAGTCTAGTCTATAGTCTAGTCTATAGTCTAGTCTATAGTCTAGTCTATAGTCTAGTCTATATAGTCTAGTCTATAGTCTAGTCTAGTCTAGTCTATAGTCTAGTCTAGTCTATAGTCTAGTCTATAGTCTAGTCTATAGTCTAGTCTAGTCTAGTCTATAGTCTAGTCTATAGTCTAGTCTATAGTCTAGTCTATAGTCTAGTCTATAGTCTAGTCTATAGTCTAGTCTATAGTCTAGTCTATAGTCTAGTCTATAGTCTAGTCTATAGTCTAGTCTGTAATCTAGTCTATAGTCTAGTCTATAGTCTAGTCTGTAGTCTAGTCTATAGTCTAGCCTATAGTCGACTCTAATATCTAGTCTATAGTCGACTCTAAAGTCTAGTCTATAGTCGACTCTAAAGTCTAGTCTATGGCTAATCACAACACTAGAATCTTTGAGATCGACGTTTTTAGAATTTTTCGGTTCTTCAAATGGTCCTTTGCTTCCATACTATAGATTAGATTTTCTAAAATTTTGAACATAAAAACATTCGATGGTGTTCTATAAATTAATAATAATAATATTTATTTGTTTGCTGGGTTACATCTAATTTGTGTTTTGGTTTTAGTGATCGACAAACAAACAGTCCGACAAATTTCAAAAAAGTCAAATACTTTTCTAAAGGATTTGATCCAAAGTATGGATTCTGAATCTGTTTTAATAATTTTTTATTGACATCAGGGTGATACTCTTATTAGTTTAAAAAGGTCTAATTTTCAAGAAGAGTCACCTTTATTTATAAAGAAGTTCATGTCATCTAAATGTGCTGTCTATTGGCTTCAAGATAATCCTCCGTTCTTATTATTGTTTATTATTTTCCAAGAAAAGTATACCTAGGTTTTTGAATTAAAAATTTGTTGACATGTGTAATTGTTTTCCTTATTGTTTCCGCCAAATATGTTTATATACACAACAAACAGTTTCTCTCGAAAACTCACGCATATTGTTGTGTTCTCATTAATGATCAGTGATCACCAATTGGAAATTGTGAATACTCAATTTGGGGGCGGAGTTAAGTGTTTTATTTAAGTTAGACAGCAATAACTGTAAAAAAGACACCATATTGTTGTTGTGATTATCAGCAAGTGTGAGTGAATGTTTTATTATTTAGCAAATATAAATTACAACAACACAAGTAATATTTCATAATAAATCGATCACTTCGAATGAAAAGAATAAAAAAACACTGATAAATGCCGCACAATAAAGAGGGAAATAAAAAAATGGCCATAAACATGTTAATTTGGAAATATTTGAATAATATGGAAAATTAATGAAATTTCAATGGTATTTAAATTTAATCACTTAATATAGTAATTAATAATAAACAATTAATTAATTAATAAAAATTAACGATTAGAATTAAAATTCCATTTAAATTTAATTCAAATCTCAAGTATTTTCTATTTTTCAATCAATGATCATTGTTCTTATATTTGTTTGCGTTTGAATCTTCAACACTTCTTGTATCTACATGTATGATTTCCTATTTATAGTAACAAAAATGTTTAATAAACATTTGTCACTGACAATAATATAAATTTTTTTATGTGTTTGCCAAGTGTGTTGAAATATGTTGTTTATTATGATTTGATCAAAATTATTTGAAAACTCTTTGTTTATTGATCTACATATGTATTTTTCTAAACATCCTTTATGTGTGTTAGATGTAGTCAAGTATTAGAGCGAGAAATTGATTCCATAAAATGTTTTTCTTTAAAAGCAATTAAACTTCATTGAACGAATTCGGATCTCACAAGTATGTAACCGTCTGTGCAATGACTGCAGTGTTAGCAGAAGAAAATTTCCAAATTAATTATAAGGATTCCCTTCGAACGAAAAATATGTCTACGAATTTCTCAACTGAGGAGATATCTTTTACACATTCTTTAACAATAAAATATGGAACACACAAATCTCTAAACAAGTTGTACGAGGGACTACCTTCTTATTGAACATGGCAATTAACGGTTTTCTAGTGAAAATAGACGCTCTTGGCTTTAAAACAGTTGCCTACGCCGACAACAGGTGATCACTTTGAAGTTTTGTCTCAAAGGTTGGAACAAGCCCTAAAGATCATTAGCTCCTAAATGAATGTGGCCTTAATCTGGCTAAAAAGGAACTTGCATTATTATCCGGAAAATACAAGATCCTTCATTTTCCTCTTCCTTTGCTAAATGTACTCTCGGATAGAGCATAATATTTTGGTATGATCAAAGACAAGAAGTTGGAGTATGAATGTACCAGTATGACATCTTCATTAAAGAATTTGGGACTAAATGATGATTGTAGTATACTCCAAGCTGAAATATTTGCGTTCAGGATAACGTCACATTTGACTAAGGTATTATCGGATATTGATA